GTTATTTTTAACAATGCTTCTCTCATCAAAATCTGTTTACTGTGCAAAAATTTTTAAAAGTTTGGTTCGTGGACATTTGATTTCTTTTCTTATCTGCCATCATTAATAGCTTAAATAAAAAAACAAAACTTCCATCTATAATTTTTGCTTTCCAAATATATCATACAATTTATCTATTGGAAGCTTTATACAAGTTATGGTGAGTTTAAATAAAATTAACCTTTTTATATCCGTATTAAGTGTTAACAAGTCGATCTCAGCAATTTTCTTTAAAACTTTAAAGCGAATATCTTGAAATTTGGTTAAAAGTTTATTAATTATTAGGCCTGATTACATGACCATTTGCTATACTACGAATTGCAGCCTCAAAAAGAATATATTAAATTAAAGCCAAGCGGATGTCAAACTTTCATATTAGCCATGGCTGAGATAATTCTTATATTACTTATTGCTCAAAAATATATTAACTCTACATTGCCTTCTACTTAATATCATAAATAATATATAGTCATTCGTTATATCTACTGTTCTTCCGATAAGCCATATTCTTTGCTTATACTTTGCTTTCTGTTTAACTTCGTAAATTAAGCAGATTCCTACCTTTGCTATTGCAAAAAGTATAAATTCAAAGTCAACGACCTCGTTTCCATGTAACTATGGTTTAGCTATTAACTATTTATATATACATTTTATATGTGCATTTTGATTAATCGAATATAGAAGTAGCAATCTAAATATAAAATTAGATAGACAGAGTTTTCGCCCCTTAACATGCTAGCAGGGTACCTAAGTTAAAGCCAACTTGTCTTAAGTCCTTTACTATGATATATATCATAATTTACAGCTTTAAACAGTGTACTTTGTGGATTCTCATCCGATTTGCGTGGTTTGGTTCGTAAGCCTTTAGGCCGAACTTTATTAAGTGACTATATAAAATCAGTAATATGAGATGTATTCACCCAATTTCGTTAAGGTGATGACGGACTGGTAGTAAAATTTTCCCACAACGATATGAGGAGAGCTGACGTTTTCATTGAATTTCACATAGCCTTGCTTTCCCAAAAATTGTTCTCATCCAGAATGCACTGTAGTTTCGACCTTGCATAGGTCATGTCAGCAACCCTAGCGGGGGTCGAACCGTGACAGTGCAGAATGGGAGCTTGGCTTGTTGACCAATCGGCCACATTGACACGAGTGCCCTTGTGTCACA